TGTCGAGCCGTGTAATCTCGTAAAGGAAACCGACTGGTGTAGTGTTACAGGGTTGACTGACTGAGAGCGAGATAACATGGGTGCAGCAATGACGCAGACCTAGGCGTAGGACCATCTATACTGTCACTTGTAGAATCTAAACTTACTGACTCTTCTAGTGAATTTACTGTATACTGTATTGCGACATGGTATTTGCTAGTATTTTCTATGACCTGTAATGGTGTTTTTGGTAGAATTTAAGTCCTTGTGCATGTATATTTAGGTTTATGTCCATTTGTGTAACATCGTTCACTTTTCTAATTTTTTAGTAATATTGTCAGTTGTTATTAAGAAGTGTAATTTTGTAGGAACTTTCGTAAATTAATTTATATTTACAAATTTTGATCTCCTTTAAATATTCCTATTTGCTAATTTCAGAGAAAAAGGAAATTTAAGAAATCTTTTAACAAAATTAGATTTCATCATAAATTCTATTATTCGAAAGTTTAAATTCTCGGAGAGAAAGGAAATTCGAAGAAAATTTTAATAAAATCAAATTTCAACGTAAGTTCTATTTAAATTTTCAGAAAAATGAAGAAATTCAAAGTTAAAATTCAAGAAACTTTTCAGTAAAATTAGATTTCAACGTAAATTCTATCGTTAGAAAGTGTTCAAATTAAAATTTACGCGGAACATCCTCGGACAATTTTTTTAGCGATTAAAGGAGAAATGTCATTAACCGTGCCCTCGTATTTTTTTCTGTTACAGGTGAGTTAAAGTCCTTGTCCTTGCCAAGGGGATTTCCGCCAGAAATAACGGTGAAGGAGGATGACGAAGGTAAAGGCACGAGCAGCTGTGATCAGCTGCAAACTTGATCACAATTAATTGCAAATTTTATTACCAGCCAGCTTGAAATATCCTGTGCAAACGCTAATTATAAATACGATTGTTCCGCGAGAATGCCTCGATGCGTTTTCTCGATAATCATGGGTCAGATTCAAAGGTTTTCACGAGCAGGGCTTGGGACACCTTGTTTCGTATTTATAAACGCGTTAGCCTTGGGTAAGAATCTACGAAATATTCACGGTTCCAGTGGTAATTGGAAGAGTTTTCATTAACACAGGAAAATTTGACCAAAAATGCATAACTGTGGGTTAATTTTTTCCAGAAATTTATCAAATTCATATTTCTTAAAATATTTTATTAAATTCTCTAAAATTGTTTTTTTATATTTCAGTTTTCTCTTCGCCAATATTTCGCCAACTTTCTATTAATCTACCGTACATTCTGTAAATTTTTTAGCGACATATCTCAAAATCGTGTCAATTTTGAATCTCTTTTCTTTTTGCCCTTTTAAATTTTTAACAGTAAATGTCCCGTGTGAATTTTTATGCGACCTAAAACGCAGTTAAAAAATTTCTCTGACGTCCGTACGAATAAAAATAAACCTGCGTAAAACGAAGTCAGAAATTTGCAAACGATAATACTTAGCAGTGTCGAAAATTGATCTTTCTTGGAAAATTCTGACTGAGTCGTTTAAATATATTGTCTGACCGAATTTGCACTTACAGTTATAAACTGTAAATAGATCGTTTCGCGACTTGTAAAACGAAAGATTTCTTGACGCGGTGCATTGAAATTGTCTTTCGTAATTGCACAGCGACAGAGACTGTTGCTTGAAACTAATCCGCGCCGAGCTTTTGTTTCCCGTTGGAAACACAAAGTAGCTGGAGCATGGAGGGAACAAAAGTGCCGCAGAAGGACAGAACCGTATCGACTGGGGCTATTTTTTTCTTTTCTCTCGTTTGTCAGAATTTCTGACAAACGGCTGTTAGTTTTCAGAACGCTGCTTTTTTTGCGGGGAAATCGGGTGAACGGTTTGCAAGTTACTAACGAATCCTCGTGGAACAAACGCTGTAGCGATAGAAATCTTTTTTTCTTTCTTTGTTTCTAAGGAAATTTATTCGACTGTGAAAGCACTCGTTCAGCGGTTTTAAACGCTAGAGTAAATTAGTTACTTCTGTGAACTGTATGCAAATTAACCGCATTGTTCAAATCAGTTGAAATATGTATACTTCAGGATTTTTCAAGGTATTCGACAACTTTCAATATTAAATTTGTCAGACAAATAAATTACATGTACAATTGAATAAACAATAAAAATAATCTAATAATAATATTCTAACAGAATAATAATTTTTTATACTAAACGATATAACAGATCTGTTTATTGAAATTGTATAAAATGACAAAGTATTAAATTTCATAAGACTTTTTCATATCGTTATTTGCTGATTTTAATATTTTAGCTTTGTTTTGGGTTGAACAAATTTTTTCAAAATTTCTATACTTCTGTAATTATTGTCAAATTTTGTGCAGCAATTAGTACTCGTGTCGTGCAACCGTACTCTTTCAATTTATGCGTTCTATTGTAAAAAGTATCTCATATAACAATAAAAATGAACAGAAAACGAGATCTTTGTAGGAAACTAGTTTATCAGCGCGGTCTTTTACTTTTAATTTTCTTAAGTGCAGTTTCATGGAAAAATCATGATGGAAAGTGAGCACAAGGTCCTTTTACCCAAGGAATTTATCATTTCTCTGTAATAAACGATAATCTTGCGAAGCCGCAAAACTTGTTTCGCGGTCGGCCCTTAATTTTGTAACCACGCATAATTCACTCGTGTCTTACGTGACTTTTATCATATAGTATCCGAGAAACATTTAAAGGCGTATCGAGCAATTTCACGACCTTTATGGTTAATTTCGTCCAAGATTGATAATTATAAAATTTGTCAATCACACGTTTTATCGAGGTTTCACTCTTTGTAAATATTTACATACTACACTTGTGGTAAATCCCACTTTATTTTTTGAATACATTTTTATAGGAATCGTGACAAACAACTTTTGCAAGAAAATCTTTTCTTCTGAAATCTTCTACCGTGTGTCCAGTTAGAAAAAGACACCCAGTGTGTAATATTAACACTAGAACGATTAAATCCGTCTTATTTTTAATTACAGAAATTATTAAGTATTTTTGCAATTTATTTTCTCTTGATCATTTGAATTTCGAAATTCTTTGTATAGTATACCTAAATATACCAGAGGGGAATAAATATACTGCAACTCATTTAACTCCCGGTTGTTCCAGTGTTAAAGACTCGAATTTTTATATAAACAAAATTCATTCTCCTGAAATTCATTGATAAAAACATATCATAAATTGCGCAAATTATTTTCAATGAAAATGTCGAATTTCAGTGAAATTGCTGTATATCGGGGCCTCTATGCTCAAATAGGAAACCGGCAAGGGGGAATAAAGAATGAGTGGTTGGCGTAGTGCGCTAAGCCTTGGCTTGCTGAGCTGGAGGTCCCGGGTTCGATTCCCGTTTGGGGTCCCTCAATATTTTTCCGTTGATTTCTACATTACGTTTTCTCAGAATGATCAAATACTATAAAAAATCCAAAAGCAAAAAAAAAATATTAACTTTCTACAGATAGAAATGAAAAATATCCGGTACCAAAGCAGTCTGTTTACCCACTAATCCGGATTAAATAAGATAAGACTTCGCCGTATCAATTTCCCCCGGTTCGCGCTGTGGTTAGAACACATTTACGTTCGACTGATTTGCGTAAGGCTATTGCTTAATTATTCAAATAGGCGCATATGCGGTCGCGATTCCGCTTGCAGCTGCTGTTTGCCGAGGCAGACGAACAAACCAGCGTGTTTCCGCTCACACGCAACGAATAGAAACCTGCTGGCTGGTCTCTCCTTCTCAACCTACGTATCGCTTCCAGTCACATCCAATTCTCTCTCTCTAGACTTTTCCTTTTCTACCTCTTCTGCTCCATTTCCTTCTTTTTCTTCTTTATCTCTTCGGTATTATTAAGTTATCGAGCGTTCGCCGCTTCGAGCATTTGCACGCAATCCGCACAATTTTCCTTTAATCTCGTGTCATTTTCCCGGTAATTCTACCCTTCCGTTTGTACGAATGTCGAACACTGGATGGAATCAAGTGCTCATTAACCGCGTTCCGTGTATCTTCCTCTACGGTTTCACTCTGGTAATGGAGTCTTCTGCGATTAAATCTGTTAACCGTTTATGGACGAAGTTTTTGGAAGTCCCTTCAAGGTGCAAGTGTGTATCTTCGTTGCGTTAATTCCAGGTTATCGCGTACGAGATCGAAGACATTTGTATGCAAACTGTTTCTATGGAAATGTTTCTTTGGGGGGAAAATTGAACGTAGTATTTAAGTGTAGCTTGTTTGCAACTTGTTTCGCATTTTGTACCGTGAAGCTGTTCTTGTTTTAAGAATTCATTCTTGTTTAAATGTTACAATAAAGTAATGCGGTGTAGTAATAGGGAACAGATTTCTGCGAGAGTTTGCAACAAACGGTTTCTCAAATTTCTTGATACTAGTGTGGCGAGGATAATTGTTAACTGAATGCAAAGATTGTATTCTCATTACTATTTATTTTACTTTGTACAATTCTAACAGAGAAAGTGGCAAATAAATAATATTCACGTGATTCTATTTAAAAACGTAACATTTATTATTAATTTACATTCGTTAATATTGCAAAGAAAGTTTCCCTTCTGAGTAATTGCTTAAATATACTTAAACAACCAATAATTAATCAAACCTAACGTGCACATAACAGGCTTAAATCTAAGCGAATTTTCACTTTACCAAAAATGAATAATAAATCTAAAAATAAATCTTGAATTTAAAAATCAATTCTCACAATTCCTCCTTCAGCTTGAAAGCAAGGCCGAAAGAAGTCTCCGCAAAGTCGGATAAATCCGGCGTGAATTAATTAAGAGATGACTGAAATGGCTTCGTCATTGATCCCTATGCAAATTTCGCCCCTGGTGAAAATTAGCCTTCGCGAAATTGTCTCCTTCCTGAGGCGAGAGGAGGCCGCGCGCAGGCAGCTTGTTATCGCCGTATTTCAAATTCCTCGATCTCTGTAGCGACAGTGTGCGGCACAGTTACACGGTCACCCGTTCTCGTGCGTCGTACGGAATTGTGATGCGAAGAGATTCCATCGTAGGGAGCAAGGGAGGCGCTCTTAGAATGTTAAACAAAACGGAAAGCGGGCTTTTATGAAGGGGAACGGGAAGCCGGCCGCCGCCGCGAGAAACGTTAGAATGCTCGATTAATGGCGGTCGCGGGATATTACTCAAGCCATGGAAAAATCGTCGACCACCGTTAATCCTAGGTATAGTGGCCGTGGAATCCGGTGATCGGGTCTTTTGTGACCCACATTTGGGATAAAATTCAGTTTTTCTAAATCAGTCGTAGTTAGTCTGTAGTTCTTTTGTCGCGACCTTAGGATCGTCATAGATCATCAATGGACTTAGTCAGCGCCGCGATTAACCCTTTCGATACTACCGGCGATGATAGTCATCCATCGTTTGGCGCTCGCTGTGTCTTACCGGTGACTAGGGTAATTTCGGGAGAGATGGACCAGGCAAGTATTTCCTACATTATCCGCCAGATATGGACAAAAAAGCACTGAGAGCCACGCTTTCGTAAAGAATACTGACGCGTTCCACATTTGCCGGATAATGTAGGAAATACATAGTGAAAACAACCCCACAACAACCCCCACCCCGAAGCTTCTATTTAAATTTGCCGCGTTATCCCTCTATACGGGTCTCCAGTGACCCGGGCACAGGACCTTGGATGTTAATTAAACACCAGAGAAAATTTTCCGGCTGTTTCGAGCCGCGCCTCGAATCTCTTTCGCATGAAACGAATTCGTTTAATATGTAGACACAACGTGTGTATTTTTGTGTGTGTGTGTGTACACACGAGGAGGAGATTTTTTGAAGAAAAGGGATTGACGGCTTTCGATAAACGAAGGA